TAAGTCATCTTTTTCTCTCATCAGGGGATCAATGAACTTTTTTAGCAACACAAAATTTTCCAGAATCATTTTCATAGTTTTGACTTTCACATTACGACTGACCTCTCTAGATGTGTTTACTTTTAGTGTTAACAGTTAACAGTTCAAAAACGCCTAACTTTTAGTATTGACGGTTAACAGTTCAAAAACAAAAAACTTATTACCTGTCCAAATCATGGAATTTACCAGTGCTCGACCTCACAACAACAAAAACTGAGGAAGGTCGGGAGCAGCATCTAAAGGAAAAATTACTATATCGAAATACTATACTCAAAAGAGAGAGAGAGAAAGAAAAAAAACCTTACTACCTGTCCAAATCATGGAATTTACCAGTGTTCGACCTCACAACAACAAAAAGTATGTGTGTGGGGGGGGGGGCATCTAAAGGAAAATTTACTATAGCAAAATACTATACTCAGAAAAAAAAGGGGGACCGTGCCCCCTGTAACCCCCCCACTCCCGCCCCGGCGTTCTACGGGCCTGTAACAGGGCTGCAGCATCCCACGTTGCGACAGAAATATTTCATTGAATTTTTTTATCTAATTCAAAAAATTACATATAAATTGAAACTCTACAAGGTGAAATGTATTAATTGTTTTAATGTTAAGGCAAGGTGAGTGATTCTATTAAAAGCATACTTAAAATACACACACTAAAGGGTAGGGCAAAGAAATTAATGGTCAAGAAAAACATGGTCAAAGTACTGAAAAGATAAGTTTGTCTACAATCAGAATAAAAACTAACAATCTTTTTCTCTTTTATCCAGAAAAACAAAATCTCCTAGTCGACAGATTTTGTTGCTCCTAAATGTTGCTTTGTCACGTTTATTTTAAAGATGGGTTTTACCACTAACGGTCAAAACGGAGAAACAAACTTCAATTTAACATAGGATGAAAAAATGATAATTATATTTGTTTGCGGTGATTTTTATGTATCATCATGGAAAGTTGGAAACACAGGGAGAAATTCACACAATTAAATTTGGTAGAATTGGTAGTTTTTGTTTGTTCGTTTGTTTTTTTTTTGTTTTTGTTTTTTTTTAATGTTTTTTTTTTGTTTTGTTTGTTTGTTTGTTTGTGTGTTTTTTTTGTTTTGTTTTGTTTTGTTTGTTTGTTTTTTGAATAGAAAAAAGTTTATCCCAAAAACTTGAATTGCACTGAAATAATATGTACTATTAGTATTACTAAGTCGAGTAGCGATGTGTGAGCTTTTTGAATTTCAGTACAATTCTATAAATATAATATTTCGTCCAATAACTGGTGCTGAGGAACGTGAAGCGGTTAAAAATTGCACTACAGCGCCTACCTTTCCATGGCTTAATTATTCTTCACCTTCAATCCTGAATTTTTTTTGTGTACAACTACACAAATTCAAAAAATACTTAAATAAAAGAAAAGATATTTTTGATAAGTGAACATTTTATTACTTTGTTTTGATGTCTCTCATTCTATGGGTAAAACCCATAGCAAAACGGCGTGGGATTTTAATACTTAAGAGAATCTTGTGATCTTTAAACTTGAGCAGCCAAAATAGATAGCTGATCTAATTTTCTCATTTTAAGTCAACGGCAACGGGGACATAAATTTGAATAAATGTAATGATGTATAGTTTTATTTTTTCAGGCCGCCGAAATAAGGTGACTAGGCGTTAATCAATCACAGCAAACAAGATGAATAAAATTAAATCCTTCACCCTTCTTGTAAAATTTAACTTTTTCTTTTTCACTTAATGCCTAATTTCTTTTTATTTTGGACAGAGTTCTTGATTTTAAACAAAATGTCTGGGGGATAAACAGAGTTGATGCGTTTAGAGCTGGTTTTTGTTATTTTTTTTTTTTTAGATTGGAAAGCTTCTTTAATAATTTTCATGCAACATTACAATTTTTTAAATAATAATTGACAATACACGAATTCCTCGATCAAGAAAAATCTCGTTTTCAAAAGATAGGTAGACTATAGAAAGCAAGGAAAGTCCGCGCATTGATGTTATATGTAAACTCGGCATGTGTTTCTGTAAGTTCATGTAATAAAAATGATATAAAATTTCTGCGTGCATATATTTGGTGCAGACAGATAGATGGACAGTGAACCTATAGTCTTTAAGGGGGCAAAAAATTAACAAGCGAAAAAATAATATACATACAAAAATATGTATCGAGGAAAAAGGAACCCCTACCCCTCTTTTTTTTAAGTGCCTGTTGGGACCGAATTGTTCACTATTTTTTTTTAATACAAATTGTCTTGTACTCAATTTTTCTTCATTGCAAAGAATATACCTGCCTTTTAAATTTTATTATTTTCAATGTTTATTATTTTCAATTTTCAAAATGATTATAAAACTTGATATTGCCAAAATGGTGGTATTTATGTTCAAGAGTGTTGTGCAAAATTTTAAATATAAAAAAATGGCATGTAGACCAATTAGATTTTAAGAAATTTCTAAAATAATGTAGTTTGTTATTTTTCTATTTATTTTTTATTGATTGATTGGTAAAACGTGAACAGATTTAATATCAAAAATATTAATATCTAAAATAATCTATTTCGTTATTTTTCTATCTATTTTTAATTAATTAATTTATTTATTTATTTATTTATTTATTTATTTTTTGGTACGACGTGAACAGATTTAATATCAATTTACTAGTGGTTTACAATTAAAATCTTAACAAACTTCTTAGCAAGTGAATTTATTTAATTTCTCATAAGCAATAACCAGATATGGTGGGTTTCGGTGCCTAATTTAATAATTATAAAAAAAATATGAGATCATATATGAGATATACTTCTTTGTGATAAAATTTGGCTGTTGAACTTTGAGAGGTATGACACATTGTATGAAAATAAGCATGCAAAGGTATGTCTGATATGGGCTTTCTAGTTATAGTTTACGAATTGTTTTAGACGTTCAAATAAAAAAAAAATGCTTGATTGACAGACATTTTTGAAAGCCGGAACCTACCTTAAACCAATATAACGTTATGAACCAGTATAATTCGTGTAGAAGGTACATGTATGTGTCAGATTTATCTGTATTTAACTTATGCATTACACTCCCCAGAAAGGAAAAAGAAGTGAATAAAATGGAGTTCTTCTCACCAATCTCAACCCCATTCTCGTCAGAGAAAGATGCGCTCATTAAACTTACGGTAGTCTGATCCTCATGTTCTGAAAATCAGGAGTTTGGTAATTGAAAATGCTCACAGAAATATCTCTGAATTCTTAAAGTAATGTGTATTTATACCCATGGTATTTCTTCCAAGTTCACCATTGTTGTTAATCATATTATATAGTGAAAATTATCAAATCTCAAAAATATTATCAGGAAACGCGAATAAAAGCACCCGATATGCATTTTATGCCCCGCCATGAATATGGCCAGGGCATATTGTGTTTGTCCTGTCCGTCTTCCGTCCTTCTGTCTTTCCGTCCTTCCGTCACACTTTGCGTTTACCTCTGTTCAAAGCTCAGTTTCAAAGAAACTATCCAAGATATTTTTATCAAACTTCATATGCTGATAGATATTGATGAGAGCTATGCAACTGCATCAACATTTTTTGACCTTGACCTTTCCTTTGACCTTGACCTCACTTTTCTTAAATTAGTGTTTAGCTCAGTTTTAAAGATATCAGTCAAGATAGTGTAATCAAACTTCATGTGTTGATACATACTGATGAGAGCTATTCAACTGCATCAATATTTTTACCTTGATTTTTCCTTTGACCTTGAACTCACTTTTCTTAAATATGTTTTTAGCTCAGTTTTAAAGAAACCATTCATAATATTTTTATCAAACTTCATATGCTAATACATACTGATGTAACCTTTTCAACTGCATCAACAATTTTTGACCTTGACCTTTCCTTTGACCTTGACCTCACTTTTCTCAATTTATGTTAAAATGTTGCATTACTAATATACCCTCGGCGGGGCATACTTGTCCTATGGACTAATTAAAAATTGATTAACAAATATATTTTAGGATGAAAAATTATAGGTTTCCATGCATTTGGAGAAAATTGCATTTTTTTAACAATTATACGATACTTTAGTTCTTCTCTTTACTTCAATTGTTATATAATGCATAGTTTTAAAAGTTGTGAGACATCAAAGATAGTACATGTATATATATATTTTTTCTTTCATGGGATACGAATGTCAACTTTTTACAACACCGTTTCTATACGAGTTCAAAGAGCCTTGAGTCATATTGAAATGCATGAAATCAAAATTGTTGCACGAACAGGTTTCAATTTCAAGCTTAATTTTGAGACTTTTTAAATTAAATAATAACTTAAGAGTTATCCTTCCTGGCTGAGTTGGGATGTCCTTAAACCCTACTTGAGAACCCTCTTTTCACTGCACACTAAAAATTCCAATTGTCTGGTATTTTTATGAAGTAAGAGTGATAAAATAAATGAACTGAAATCTACAGTGTACAGTAACAGGAAGGGAGAAAATATATGGCCTGATTGGGAATTGAACCCGGGACCCTGCATCACTACTCAGGTGCTCTACCTACTGTCACGGCCCAAACAATTACAAATGTATTACTTAATTTGTAATGAATTCAAGCATTCTAAACATTTTAGTGGATTAATACAAATTTATTGAACACTTTTTGTTCATCCCCCTCCTCATTTAAGTATTAACGCGACAGTGATTTTTGTTCATTATTTTTCCTGGAGGTAAAGGCTTCTTTTTGCCTTTGAGTTGCAAACTTTGGATTCAAAGTCACTGAAAACAAACTGAGGACATAACCACAAGGGCTAAATGTATAGGGATATATCAAATGTTAAGTACGAGTACCCAATGTGAAACACCACTGTGGTAACATATGAATGATATTGAGTCTAGATACATCGATTGTATATTATTTAAGTATCTACATGCAAAAGTAGAACACCATCTATATTATCTTAAACTAATGTTTTTGTACACCAATAAATAAAATATCTGAAATATTGTATGTCTCTGTTTTTATTTTGTTACCATCATAAACATAAGAAAAACATCAATATCAATAAAATCTTTATTTTTTTCTTTCTCATTTCTCTCACATACTCACTTTCCACCTTGTCCTTGCACATAATGACTCAAAAATAACTTACAACAAAGTTATCAATATGATATATAAAATGCTGCATTCCAAAACATGTGAAAAAAAAATTATTCTTATACTTTAGAAAAACATAAAATAAAGTTATGCATGAAATCTTTCTTTAATGTCAATGTTTTGTTTTTTTTTTCTGACACAACTCCCTGGAAATGTATTCATTTGTATAAGTCACAGATTTTAACAATGTCTTCTCATGATCTTGTGTATTTTCCCCATATGTGTAACATGAACACGGAAGCAATGAATATTAAACTCATAACAAGTACTGGCACTGGTCCTCTGCAATACAAAAAAAAAAGAGCAAAAAGTTACTATTGAGTCTCTTTCTATATTGCAATTTCTCTCAACATTGTTACCAAGTTAACAGAAGAATCAAAAAGGCTTCAGTTACATATGTATAGCTGACAAAAGCTCTGAATGCTAGTGTAACAAATGTAATACATTCTTGTCTTCTTGAATGACAAGTTTACTACTGACTGCTAAGATTCAGTAAAATCATAATCAAACTGTCATCTTTTATAACATGCCCAGTAATAACTTGATTTGCAACTATGAGAAAGATCTTTTTTGCATAAATCTAATTTTCTTCTGAGTTAAGGAGTTGTCTCCCATAGACCACTTCTATAACTTTATTGTTTCTTTACCATAAATATCAAGAAATATTACAGGAATTTTAAATGAAATTATACTGAGGTCAAATATGTCGGTACCCAAAGAAAGGTCCTGTCACAAAGAATACATGGCATAAAGATATGGTTCAAGATCATTTGGAGAACTTTCATGTGCAAAAATTTCAAACAACAAGGAATAAAAAGTTTACACGATGGAGAGTCTAGTTTTAGAAATGAGAGTCACTTAAGGCTAAAAAAGTAAACAATATGCAAGAGAAGTTTTGGGATGTAAGAGCTACATGATGACTTTAAATTCTTACACTTTGATTCCTGGGGAGTCTTCCGTGTAAAACCTCCACATTCCAGCTCCACTTCCTCCACCTGCTACCGCTTTTTTGGCACCACCAGAGGAAGGTGCTTTCCTATATCATATAATAATTGAATTGATAGATGCAAAACATGGAGTTAATATGATTAAGTAAATACATGTATGATATCAATAAAAATGTTTTGATGACAAACTAAAATTCAGTTGTTGTTTTTTTTTTTCACTTTTGCTTATGAGGCTTCAGAAATTGTATAGCATACATTTTCAAAATGCATTTTAAAATATTAAATCTCACCTCTGCCTGACTGTGGAACCTCCCCCTGATCTTGGACTGACTGACTTAGATGAGGGGCTTCGCCCTGCTCCTACTGAGGTGGAACTTGCTGGTGCTGGCTGAAAATGGAAGAAGATTTGATGTACTGAGAATACAATACTAAAGTCTTATGTTATTGCAATGTTAAAACAAATATCATGCTATACTTGAAATTTTCCGTAAAATCTGTACATTTATAATTATTTACTCATTTTAGTGAAGGTGGTGTTGTAAAATAATCTAGATATTTTCATTTAGTCAACTGCAATATTTGTTTTGTTTGTTTGTTTGTTTTTCAAAATGATTAACATTAATTACATGTAAATAGTTCAAACATTTTATGACAGGTGAATTTGTTGTGTGCCATGATTCCAAGTATTGTCCAAAGGCATCTGTTTAACATGTTTATCAACTTCCTTCTTCATAAACATGTACATGCAAAAACATTAATACTAAATGCCAAAATTGCCCCATGGGCTCTCTTTACCCAATTATTCTCTAATCTTTGAAGTAGAAATTTAAATTATTCCTTAAATAATACACTAAAAAATGTACTTGATAGCTACCCAAGATATACCATATAACCTGGGTTGGGACAGTTTATAGTGATTGATAAAAAAGCATAAGCTGAACTGCAAATCAGTTTATAAAAAAGCACAAGCTGTACCAATCCAGGTTTTAGAAGTATAATTTGGGTACTTATTAAATGTATTCCTAACCTAGCTTAATTTTCTTACATTAATTGTAAAATATAAGATAATTTCCATTCAAAAAAATGCTCTAATTTGTATAAAATTTAAGTGTAATGTCAAGTGGATTGATACATTTTTGAGTCATACTGTGACATAGGCAAGAGAGGTTATATGATATAAACTAATTTTTTATTCAATTAAATGGCATATTACAACTAGAATTAAAATTTCTGCATAAAATTGTCTTACTATGTATAGAAAATACTCGAGAGATGGTACATTGTTTAACAAGCTCTCTTTCAAATTTTCAAGATATTTTTTAAAATACTTTTCATAAAATCAGAATGTCCAATCATCCTTTTTCTTCAATTTGCTAAAACTCTTTTCTGATTTCACTCAATATTTTAAAAAATAACATAAGAATAAAAATTAGAGTTGAAATGATAAAGCGATATAACGATCATATTGAACATGTGTCTCAATGATACATGTATCGTATCGTCAATCAGGTATCATGATATCAGAAGTGGTTTTTACTTTACAACAAAATTTTTAAAAATCAAAACAAATGGCATCTGAAATGAGCATAGTGGAAGGCAATTAAGCCTTGGTATAGCAAGTGATCAAGTAATCAAAGTGTTCTTTTCCAAAATATACAATAAATTGCTATTATGCACATGATGTTACACTGTTATACATATATTATATCATTATAAAGAACAGAAGAAACAATTTTCTGCTTTACATTATATATTCAATTGTAATTTGTATTGTGATACACAGTTGTATAGTGTCGTAGTATCATGATACGGAATGTATTGTGACAATACCCGCAATATTCATGCCTAATAAAAATCTACTCAAAGTATTCATCTCAAAGTCTTTTGAAATGGGAGAATGTAGTGCAATGCTGAAATAATGTTAATCATGTTTACAGTCTATTTCATTAATTCATGGAGGAGGTATTTAACATTATATATATTTAATCTTAAAAACAAATTGAAACATATTTTCAATTAATTGAATTATTTGTTTATGCTTGTAAAAAACGTTTACGTGCCCACAATACATAATATGTACATTCTATTTTAACAGCTGTCAATGTTTTGAAAACCATATCGTTTGATTTACCATACAGGTTATTTATTCAGTTACTTATTTATTGTTGAGATTATTCGTCGACTAGTTCTATTACAATAAATTAAATGGACTGATATTTCTAGACAATATTAAATAAATTCTTATATCATGACAATTTGATGGACAGTGCAGTAACACCGGCTATCAAAATATTAGGTTTTTAGAAAATTCTGTTGATCTACCGTAAAAAGAGTTTCTTAAACTTACAACTTGTAAATAAAACTTGTAAAATAAGCGACAAATGTTCTAACATATCGTTTAATTTACGATAAATTGTCTAAATGCACTTACCATGTTGAAATTCTATGATGATGTGGAAAAGAGGAAGTAAAGAAACGCCACCTGGTGAAAACTTCAAAAAAGTAATAATCGAGTGTAATTGAATGGATCTCATGATTCCGGATTTCTCCTTGTTGATCATAGTGAGGGGTTTCGGGCATTGTCATGATTTTGAATTTCATATTCTTTAGTTTTTGCTAGATCGTTAGACAGATATATTACAAGGTCTAAATACATACATATTGCATACATGTATAATATTACTTTCGCCGGACGAGTTTGATTATCCGCATACATCCTTGCACTCCTTATAATTCAATAGTTTAGAAACGTTGGAAAATGGAAGTTTGTGGTGTATTAATGACGAAATATTAATGTATCACCAAGATGTAAGAAAGTGTAACGATCCGGCAAATCAGAGGACATTTATGCAAAGACAAAATTTACTTGTATGAAATCAAAACACAAAAGAGTTAACATTTCTGCGATCAACAACTGATCTGTGGGAAACTGATATCCTTCGCGTAAAATGGTAAATGTCCGCTTTTCTTCTGCTTTCAAGCAGTTGTCCAATTTACTGTCTTTTTCGAAAGGTTCTCATAATCACATTTAATTGTAGATTGTTATATATACACATACATAAATATAAAATAGGTACTACTGATTTAGACTGGAGATTACCCCTCCCTAATTCCAGTTTCTAACACACACACACCCTTCCACACACACACACACACCCTTCCACACACACACACACCCACACACACACAAGACTATATAAGATAAAAATAATACGGTTAACCATGCAGTTACGCATTTTAGTAACTGCAGATCGCCGGACATTCCACGATTCATCTTTTTTTTTCCATCTCTGTATTTTGAACATTACAATGTTATTAAGGCTGTACATTGTGTAATTAAACTGACCTGGTGTTCTCTAAATCTGGCGATAAATTGACAAAAAGCAAACAGACCCCTTCTCTTATTACAGCCGACCCAGTGAACATATGCATAAACACGTTTAATAGCAAATTTACGGTTGTCCACGGTATTAAAGAACCATCAAGTACCCAAGAATTCACTTGTAAGCTGAATTACACTGTTAAAAGACCGGTTTGTGGACAGAAGATGTCTTCCCTTCATTGCTTTGTGTTGCTTTTCGGGATTTTTGCTCCAATATATTCTGCCTCGGACTGGAGTTTTTATACATATCTTGGTGAATCTTTGGATCTTACTTGCGATGATTTTGAAACAAACATTACGACATCAGAGTCGGGACAATGGATTTTACCTTCTGGTAAAATTCTGAAAGCAGACGACATTGGTTACGAGATCATTAAGAAAAACAACATCCATGGATACACCCTGAAGATAACGAAAATTACAAAAGAAATGGGTGGAGTTTATATTTGCAAAATTCTAGATGCAAATCGTAATGTACGAACACAAGTTGTCCGGGGGTTGAATATCTCGGGTCCAAAATATCGTACTTGGACGGACAAATACACTGAAAATTTTGTACGAGCCGTTGTTACAGCTTCTTGTCTCCTAGTTCCAATGTTGACGTTTTGTTTTGTACAGAAATTTCGTTACAGAACGAGTAAAGAAACCCTAGAGAGCAACGGAGCTCATTTACCAGCCTATACGAACAAAGCGTTTGATGACAATATTGTAAAGCACGAGAGCTTAGACACTAAAATGTGACAATAATATTGTGTATAGTACTAGATTTATGTACATGATAATCATGATAAATTTTGTGTATATACGTGTGTAGGTACTTTACATTACTGCCATTATTAAAATTAAATTTTTGGAGAATTCCATTGCATCATTTTTTTTTTAAATAAAAAAAATCTCTTGAAACTACAATATGGTTTTTCATTGTACGTTTGTGTTGGGAGGGGGTTGTTTGTTTGTTTTTTGTTTTGTTTGTTTGTTTGGGTTTTTTGTTTTTGTTTGTTTGGTTTTTTTGGTGCAGTCCTTCAACTTTAGAGGTCTCCCACCTCACACTTTTAATGGTTCAAAGAAGAAAAAATGTATGAATTTAATTTCCCCTCAATATAGTTAATTAGATATAATTAATAATTAAGAACTTGTACATGTTGCCACCTTTTTACGGTGTCAGATCAACATAGATAAGAGTGTATCACTGTATGTAAAAATAGAAAAATCACATTTTTAGTAAACAATATCACTTAAACTGCGTAAAAAACTGGCATGATTTTAATAGTAAAAGTTTCGATTGATTGCTACTTTTTAAATATGAATAAATTGTGGATATCAAGGAAACATTATGTAATAAAGATATATATAAATACACGATTGAAGAAACATAATCTTAAGTTATAGCCCTAATATTTTGCTCCATTTTTTTAATATGAATAATTCACGACTGTAAGAAAATATTAATTTTCTAAATTGTTTTAACTAGGGGGTGTTTGATGTGGAAGCAA